ATGCAAAGCCACAATACCCCATTTATATAATATATAATATGACACTCATAAAACCTCAATTTAATATATAATTTATGGTGTTACATGTAAGAGAATAATGACTTTGAAGTTTTCAAAATAGTGGTCTAATGACCCTCTTAAAAATAGTCAAAGTCATTATTATATTTTATAATAAAATATATTGTTTTTATTAAAATAACCCAACAATCTACGTAAGTATTGTCATACTATAGAATTCATGTCTTGACACGTTTCACAAGATAAGAATATACTATTTGATTTGTCATGCTTCTTCAATTCTTAATCTGGAAGAATGCAAAGTCCACGTAAGCAAGTTTTATCTTAATAATAAAAATGCAATAGATTATTGGAAAATATAGTTTTCCTATTAAAAAGGTTATTGTAATTAAAAAACCAATTTCAAGAAGGGTAATTTACGGCCACCCCCAAATAGGGATGACAATGGGTAAGGGTTTGCCGGATCTTAGACCCGGAAACGACCCGTTTGGTGTGGATTTGAGTAAGTTAAATAGTTTTGGATCGAGTAATGAGTTTATGTTTCTAGAACAGGACAGTTCTGGGTGGATTACGGATCTTATTGGAACCGATCTAGAATCAACTCGTATAAATATATTATATTTAATAGTTAATCTATATATACAAATTAATTTAGGATTTCACTCATCAAACTTCCAACTTTCATCGTGTCTATTCTTATTTGCTAATTTTTCATTGTTTAATTTCTTTGAATCTTGTTTCTCGTAAGTAATATCTATCGAACTTGTCGACCACCGTTAGTTGTCTTGCCTTTTGAATATTTTTTTATCGAAGAAATTAAATATAATTAATTATAATTTTATTATTCACATTATATCACTTATACAAGTTTTTTAAAATCTTGTATTTTAATTTTGAGATTTTTTTGTTAAAATATGCAAGTATATATTATGAAAGTTGATTTTTTTTTTATGTTAATGGATTTAGCCGATCTGGCGGGTCTGAACCGTTTAATTAGGATATGGGTTGAGGTGAATTTTGGTCTAAGGTAAAACAGGTTGAGGCGGGTCTGGGTATTATATATTTTCGCGGATCGGGTCTCGGGTTTAGGTAAACCCGCCTCATAACCGACCCGTTGCCATCTCTATCCCCAAAGGTAAGGTCAAAGTACGTGAAAAAAAAACTCCTCATGTTTGGGTAATTACAATCACCTCTCAACAATGAATCTTCTTACATGTCTCTTATGATGTCAAAACAACATAATCTTCTAGATTCTGTGAAATGTTTTCTAGTTTGTACTCATTTTATGCAAAAATGCAGTTTCTGATGCACCACAATTTGATATTTACAAGCCAAGAGACACATTTTATGATCATCTTATTTCAAATTGTAGAGTTCAAATCAGGTAAAACGGGTAGAAACTGGAGAAAATATTCCACATAATGTAGAAGATTCCACTAAATTTGATACAATAAAAATGGACGTGTAAGAAGATTCATAGTTGATGGGTGGTTGTAAATGTAATTACACAAACAAAGGGATTTTTCCATATTTTGATCTTCCCTCAGGGAGTGGCCTTAATTTACATTTCAAGAATCCCGATATTTTTTAAGAACCATACATACAGTAGCATTTTTTTTTTTTCAGTAATACACTTTTAAGTGTGAATTGCATCAATTACACAAATAGATCCGACACATTATAGAAATAAATAACTCATTAACTTAACTTGATAAATAACATCCTTATGATTTCGTTGCAATATTGTTGTGTAAATAATGGAAAGAATTACAGGCCCCAAGTAAGTTTTTTGTAGTACCATATGAACAGTGTGCAGTATATGGGATGCTTACAGTATTTTCTAATTATTACTATTTTATAATTTTTTATTTAGAAAAAAAAAGTGGTTTCATATTGTATTTATTATTAAAAAAATCAAAATATTTTTGATTTTTTTTGAAGTAGAATATTTCAACGGGTCATTACAAATAAGCTCATCATGGGGTACTTATTCATAAAGAGATCCAGACAAAAAACTCATTTACCAATAAATTCACACATGGTCCAGATTTTTGTAAAAGACTAAAATTGCCCCTCATACTTTAATATGCTCAAATTTCATCCTTAACTTAATTTAACTTCAATTTGACCCCAAATTTCATAAATTATTCAATTTTGACCAAAAACTTTTTTTATCAAAAAAAAATCCATTTTTTTGCCGCCGGATTCCGGCGTTGACTTTTCAATTTTTTTTTTTTTTTTTTTTTATTTTTTAATTTTTTTTCTTCCGGATTTTTTCGCCAGTCTCCGGCGTTGACTTTTTCGATTTTTTTTTTCTCTTTTTTTTCTTATGTAACATTTTTTTTTTCGTTTAAACAACAATATTGCTGTGATTGATAGTAATATTAACTATATTACTGTTAAACACAGTAAAATTAACTAAACTACAGTTTAACACATTAATATTGCTATATTAATCTCTAGCACAATAATATTAACACAACAAAACTCATTATTATTGTGTAATAGAGTAATATTACTATGTTGACCGTCAACAAATGTAAACATAATAAAAAACCAAAAGAATTAATATTACTTTGAGTGACAGTAATATTACTATAACAACAGTAATATTACCGTCAACCACAGTAATATTACAATGGGCTTATTTTAGATACCCCCCTAAGAGGCAAATTAACTAGTGATAAACCCAAAGGAAAATCTTCCTTTGACATACCCCCCTGGGGATAGGAAAGTACATTACTACCCCTGCAGCCAAAATACGCTGGGCGCCATAAATAAAATATTCGACAAAATAACCGCGCAGTTCCCCAAAATTCTAAATTACACGCAACATATCAGGACACAGGATTTCGTCTCCAACCTACCTCCGACTGTGGAAACCGCCGACTACGAATATTTTCCGTCTTTCACCTCCGAAAGAAAACAAATCTACTCGTTTCTACGCCTGCGTATTAAATCTCCTCCTGAAAAAGCAGAACAGTGGTGAAAAAAGCAAAAGCTATGAAGAAAACAGGTACTTTTTACAAAAAACTCTGTACAGGGGTATTCGCACTATTTCTCGATTTTTTTTCCTCGTTTCTCTGTTCTAAAGGATCTATGAGACGCATGCAGTGATATGTAGTCACTGGATGTTGTATGTAGTTTTGTAATCTCACCCAAAGATCTGTTGCGATAACACAAGAAAATCAACCAGAGCGGCGGAAGAGGAGTTGCAAAACCTAGACGCAGGTATTTGTTATGTTCTACATCATCTATGTCAGCTTCCCCCCAAATATATACATTTTCTATAGATTTGCATAGTTGTATTAACGGTTAGCCATAGATCGGCGCATCCCAAATATATACATTTTCTATAGATTTGCATAGTTGTATTAACGGTTGGCCATAGATCGGCGCATTTCTGAATCAACAACATAAGTTTTTAGCTGGAATACGTTTTTTGCATGAATTAATGTGATTACAGCGTATTATAATACTAACGTATTTTATCCAAACTGTTAATTAAACGACGTCTGAAACTGTGCTGCATGATACAGTACATGAAGGAACAAAACTACATTTCACTACACATAACTACATATAACTATTGTGTTTCCCGCCTTGGACACCACAAGGCGCGCCCCCCAAAAAAATTGAATTTTAAATCCAGACGACTGAATGCCAACAGTCGCCCGTATTGCGAAAAAATGATCATTCGATGCAACCTTTCGAGTTCCAACCAATCCTGTACCACTGCCATTCGCTTTATAAAGCACCCACACCCCCCCCCCCCCATACACATACATAAAGCGCACAATTTACATACCGAAACAAAAATAAAAATTTGAAAGAAAAAATCAACCATATCTGCGATTCCAGATGTAGCAATCGAGAGACTGTGGTGGGAGATGGAGTTCCTTCTCAAACATGGCGACCACGCATACCCAGAAGAAGCAGCATACAACCTCATTAACGGTCCGGATGGGGGTCAGGAGCAGTACCGGAAGTGCAAAATGGGTGAGCACACACTGATTCACCACGAAACAATGAACACCAACGTATGTTCATTCTGCCTCTTCCTCCCCGACCCACCAACGCCGCCGTGTGTTTCCGCGCCACCTCCACCTGAATCTCCACCGCCGCCGTCTAGTGACGAATCATCTTCAGACTACTGCCTGGAAGATGAAGAGACGGGCGAGCACGATTGGGAGTCTGCAGACTCTTGGGATTAATCGCATGAATTTTATTTGCAATATATTTTGCTTTAAAAAAACAAACTTTTGTGTATTATGCTTTTATTAAATTTAAAAATTTTATCCCATTGTCCCATATATTTTGCCACAAACAACCAATTAGCTCTTGAGACTTTGCCACTGGTAAACAACCATATACACTGAGAATTGAATACAATAACACAAAAATAACTACATGTAACTAGGATTTAAAAAATACAGTGAAAACTTGTTCACATGTACAACACATGCACTTTCGGACAAAAAAATACAAATCTACAAAATAACAAATGACTTCAAACCTTAGCCAGATTAGATGGTTATTTCCAGAGTCATCGCTCCAAGTAATGTATTCAAACGTAGAGTCTGATTACATACTTCTCAGCACAATATAACTAGATGAAACTGTATGTAACTACATATAACTATGAATAAAATGGAACAAATACGAAAACGCATCACGAGTGCAAAAACAAAACAATCATTTGTAATTAGTTCAAATTCAAACATCAATGAACAATAAAGCAAATCCAGCAAAATCAACTGCTAAAAATGTTAAAATTCTAAGCCATGCTCCTAATACACGTTCTCTTATTGTGTGTCAATGTGATTACACCTGCTGCACTTCATCTTCCTTGAGATGTTTTCCCCAACAGAAGGAATTCTTTTGTTCTTCGGCCTACCACGTTGCGGCTTGAACACAGGGGCACAAATTTCAACAGCAGGAGGCCGACCCGCATCAGTAACAAAAGGAACAATGGTGTGAGATTACACTCTTCTATAACAGTCTGTACGAAAATGTTCGTCAAAATAATCATAACCACCAGTCTTTTTGTACTTAAATAATACACAAACCGCGTGAACACAAGGCAACCCATTGATCTGCCACATTCGACAACTGCAACTCCTGCTACGAATGTCGACAATAGCAACCGGATCGCTCAGCACCTCATATAAGTCATCGGATGCTTGACGAGCAGTGATCACTCTAGCATCTTGAACAAGCCCGTCAATCATATCTTGGACTTTTTGGCACAACACAGATGTCCATTTCAACGCAATATTACTAGCAAAGCACATGTCAACCATCATTTTGCTTCTGATGCCATCAATCATATTTGTTATCGGCAATCCACGAACATCAGATAAGCTTGAATTCCACGACTCTACACCACTAGACGCAACCTGCCCATATCTCCTCCCACCAAAATAAGCATGAGCCCAATTTTCAGGAGGTAAGTTGCATAAAAAGTTATCAACCCTAGGTCCACCGTTCTTCCTAAAGAGCTCCATATTCTGATCAAATTCTTCTCTGGTAGCTGCGTAAACACACGCATTAAATTGGAAAGATATCGCCTTACGAAAAGTGGCCGTACTACCACGGAACTTGTTCATAAGATTATTCTCGACGTGATAAACACAGAAAGAATGGAAACAGCCTGGATATATATTCTTCACTCCTTTCAATATATCGCTGTTACGGTCCGACACAAATGTCAACGTACGTTCTGTCCCAATCGCAGACTTCAGGTGTTAAAAAAAGTACGCCCAATTGCAATCAGTCTCCTCATTGACAACAACAAAAGCCATCGGGAATAATGCTGAAAAAAAATACAAAATAAAAATTAGGCAACTCAACAGTGCGTAGTAATGTACAGTTATATATAAAATTTCGATTACTCACTCACCATTTTGACCATCCTTACCAACAGCAGCAAGCAAAATACCCCTATGTTTCCCCTTCAAGAACGTACCATCAACAGATAACACTGGCCAGCATGATTTAAACCCCATTAAACAAGCACCAACAGCAAAAAAACATCGCCGAAAACGATTAGTTGCTTGATCGATATCAAGATGGTATACACTTTCAGGATTTGTCCTGACAAGTTCATCAAAATATGACGGCAGATACGAATACGATGTTGTGTGATCACCAAAAATGTCTTCTTTAGACGCCTGAATAGTTCTCCAACCAACATAGTAGCTGATATCAATACCAAAATGCAATTTCGCATGGACAACCACATCGTTGGCCACCCACCCGGGCTTAGATCTGACTTCGCACATCACCAACTCAGCAATTATATCGGACGTCAACCTCTTCTTACTAGATGTAGCAAATCCAGAACCACTGGTGTGATGCTTCACATATCTTCTAATATAAAAGAAACCATTTGCGTGCTCAATCGATGCATGAATCCTCCACATACAGTCCTTCACGTCCCTATCCTTACAAACTGCAGTGACCCTAACATGCTCGTTCTTCACATACCGAAATTCAAAACCCATCTCAATAGCATAAAGACATAACGCCTTCCAAAAATCCTTCGCACCACCTTCAAACACTTGCCCCACATCTGTAATAAGATTCGCCCAACTAGCAGTCATCAACTGCGGGGGGCCTGCTGTCACCAAGCTACGCGGATTAACACTGAAAACACCTCGATCAGCATCGCGTTCATACGTATTAGGTAACACCGGAGCCAACCCAACCAAACCCCGACCATCACCCAATCTCTGTTTTATAACTACATTAATCCGACTCATCGACAATTCCCTCATGGATAACAACATGAACGAAACATCATGTCGTCACCCAACACACCCTCACCAACACCGGGTATATTGTAGGACATAACCACATTGTTACGCTGCAGTCCATTAAACTTCGTGCTCACAAATCCAATTAACTCTTCAAAAGTAAAATCCCCCGTACCTTTTTTCACCCCAAAAAAACCATCAAATTTTAGAACGATAGTCACACATGACGCCATATTGAGACAAAACTCTGAAAATAATTGAAAACAACCGTCAACCTAACTATGTAAACTGTCAGCAAAATACATCAGATCGCAAAAAGCATAAACCCGAACACACTGCATGAACTCCTTCATCCACCTCAAACAAAAATGACAACAAAAAAATATAAATCTAGCACTAAACTATAACTGATCTTACTAAAGTATCTTACAAATGTAAACACATTGCCATCAAACTCTACACGCGCGAGATCTGATAACATTACTACATACAACTACCAAATAAAACACACAAAACTCATCATACATCACCACACTATCACTCCGCGAACACAGTTTAATGCAAAAAACAAAAAAAAAAAAACACAAAATCTACAAAAATTATACACAATTAACGTAAAACAAATTATTCATGAACAATTAATTCTGATGAGTTAAGTTTTAACAAACACTTACAGAGATGACGTCGGCTTATTCGAAAATGACTGCTACAGAGATCCATAAATTACACCGAATACGAAATCCGCAATGTTTGAAACGAAACGAATATCTCACCAAATCGCGAAGAAAATTCAGTTTCCATTATACGTCGCACGTTTTCCGCATTCACAGAGAATTAAAAACGTTGGGATCACGTGTACATGGCAACGTCCGCGATTATGGAAATGGCTACTAAGGGCAGTTTAGGTACTTCATGTATGCCTAGGGGGGTCCGTCAAATTATTTTCGAAACTAGGGGGGTTAGCCATAGGGTGGTATCCGCTTGGTAGTTAGTTGGATATAATTTGGAAATTAGGGGGGTCTCTAAAATAATCCCTATTACAATAATAGACAGTAATATTATTACGTTACTCCGTGAATAGCTCAAACAAACAAAAAAATCCAAACAAAATAATAATATTGATGTGGTTGACATCATATTACTATAACAATAGTAACATTACCGTCAACCACAATAATATTATTGTGTTTATAGTAATATTACAATAATAGATAATAATATTATTACGTTACTCCGTGAATAACTCAAACAAAACAAAAAACCCAAAAAAATAATAATATTGATGTTGTTGACAATAATACTATTGTGTTTACAGTTATTTTACTCTCAACGATAGTACTATAATTACGTTGACTTGTCAACAAATCAAACAAAAATAAAAACAAAATAACAAAAAAAATGATAATATTACGTTAATTTATTGTCAACGGCAGAACAATTACATAAATATATTGTCAACGGCAGTACAATTACGTTAATTAACTATCATTGACAGTATACTTACGTTAATTTACTGTCAGTGACATCACAATTACGGTCAACATTTAACGGCGGACGTAAAAAAAAAATAACAAAACCAAACAAAAAAAAAAAAAACTTAAAAAAACACTAAAAAAAGTCAATGCCGGAAACCGGAAATCCAAAAAAAAAAAAAAAAAAAAGTCAACGCCGGAAACCGGCGAAAAAATCCGGAAAAAAAGCGAAAAGTCAACGCCGGAGACCGGCGGCAAAAAAAAATTTTGAAAAAAAAAAGTCAAAATTGAATTTTTGTGATCAAAATTGGATTTTTGTGGACCAAATTATTAAGAATTGGGTATAAGTGGTTGAGGGTAATATTGGCATATACATGAATGTTTTCTTTATTTATAATAAATATTAAAGGGATGAGTTTATTGGTGAAACAAATATAGCCTCTAAACCTTGAATAATAAAGATGTTTTGTTGGGAACTTATGCACAAAAACCCCTATTTCTAGGGCTGTGCGTTGGTTGGTTTGGTTAAAAACCAGCCATAAAACCAACCCAACCCATCCAACCAACTTTGGTAAATATTGGAAACCATTATCGACCCAATTTACATGGGTTGGGTGATGGTTAAAAACCAATTTAATGGGTTGGTTGGTGGTTTGGTTGATGGGTCATCCATCTTAATATTTTTTTAATTTTTTTAATATTTTATTACTTGTTACAACGCTATATCTTTTATAAATTAAATGCGACTAGTTCAACAATATTTAAATAAAAGATTCAAAACATTACGGGCATATATATTGCAAATAAACATAAATAGTTCAACAAATAATAATCGTTCAAATATTTAGAGTATATGTCTTAAAATTAAAATAGTTCAAATTAGATAATTATGTTAGATTTATTGCTTTTAGGAATTTGGTCAATATTAGACAATTTAATAAATGTGATATAAAATAGAAATTTGAAATTAAAAGTATTAAATATTTTAATTAAAATTAATAAATAATAAATTCATGAATAAAGTTGGTTGGCCGATATTAACCGACTAACCAACTTTTTGGCATATTAAAAACCATTATCGACCCAACTATACATGGGTTGGTTGACATTATCGACCCAACTTAAATGGGTCGGTTGATGGTTGATTAACCATCACAAATTATGGGTCGAAAATGGGTTGGTTGGTGGTTAAAACCGATCCATGCACAGCCCTACCTATTTCAATTGCCTGTTATACCGTATACATTTAAATTTCTTGTAATTGTTAATAGGAACTTTTAAAGCAAAATTCAATGATGATTTATTAATATTTCTTAAAGTATTAAAATATTATAAATCTAGATATTTATTACATATATTGAATTTAGGGTAAATTACAAACACCCCCTGAGGTATGGTCAAATTACAAAAACACCCCTCTTGTTTGGATAATTATAGCCACCCCTCAACTCATCAAATTTAGTGGAATCTTCGAGATTATATGGAATATTATCACTTTTGTACCCGTTTTATCTCATTCAAACTCTACATTATGAAGCAAGATGATCATAATATGTGATTTTTAACTTGTATATATCAGTTTGTGGTGCATCGAAAACTGTATTTTTTACACAAAAAGAGTACAAACTAGAGCACATTTCACGGAATCTAGATGACTATGTTGAATTTGGCACCATAAAGGTGGAGGTCTAAGAAAAAATCATAGTTGAGGGGGTAGATGTAATTATCCAAACAGGAGGGGTATTTTTGTAATTTGACCATACCTCAGGGGGGTGTTTGTAATTTACCCTTGAATTTATAATATTATTGTAGGATAAATGTAATAAAATTATATTTAACTAACACGTGCAACGAGTAACATGTATCTTCCTAGTATATATGAAAAATGTCGAACCAATATATATAGCCAGAATTGAAGGAGTTTTGAAACCCATTTTATGAGAAATGGTTGCCCGGAACCCGCTTCTTAGGTTGTCTTAAATCCAGAATTCCACAAGTCAAAGAAAATGGCAAACAACCAATGTAATTGAAGCATGTAGAATTACGACACTCAAAGGTTAATGACATCCGGATACAGGCAACACCAATTTGACAAAACAAAAGAGCAATTATAGGAGAGCAAAAATTCACTGAAAATAACGCTTTTGGATTATTTGTTCTATCAAATTAACAGTCTCAAAGGAACGGGTTCTAGAATGGTACTGTTTGATAGTGTTTCATGTTCTCTTGATCTTCGAGAAAGTTGCACAAGTGTTTGGAGTAGCACCGTCATGCTTGTTTGCCTGAGGGTTTGAAGCTCAATTCCCTGAAAAAACACATTACATATGCATTTTAGTGAATTCCGTCCAAGTAGCAAAGGTGTATTAGCAAGGCCTCGAGGCCAAATTTAATTGAGAGAGAGAGATTGAGAGAGAGAGAGAGAGAGAGAGAGAGAGAGAGAGAGAGAGAGAGAGAGAGAGAGAGAGAGACTAGGCATGTCAATTCGCAGAGAAGCATCAAACCTGAAGAGGTGCAAAAGCGAGAGCCGTCCCCTGGTATGCTGAACTGCATTCTATTTGATGTAACAACATATCTAATGGAAGTATGCAATCACATTAGGTTCTTGAAATAAAAAAGAATTACTTCAAATATGACAGCAAATATTTCACTTTTAATATTATAAATAAAAAAAAAAAAAAAAAAAAGAGTACAAGGTGAAATTTCAAGTACCTTTGATTTTTCATCCTTGATCTTCGACCACCTCTCTTCATTTCAGACTGGGAGTCAGGATCCAAAAGAGGTTTAGGCTGCTTAGCAGAAGGACGCACTTGCCATTTCTTTATCTTTTTCTGAATATCTGCACGTAAAATTGTCCCAATTCTTCCAGATGGATCTCCCCTTTTAGAATCAAAACGTGCAGCCAGGGAAGATTTTGCAGCCAAAAGTCGGCAAACACGCCACTTCAAGGAAAGAGGAGTGCCTTCTAATATGTCCGTGTGTTCTAAATAACCAACCCTAAATCCGGAAAAGCCTGCTACATTATTCATCTTATTGGCACCAAGAAGCTGAAAATTACATGGAGGCACTAGTGCTAATGCTGAGAGACTGCCAGCTGTAGCAACAAGCTTTGCAGCCACCTCACTTCCAACTAAAGCAGATAGGTTTGGAGCAATATATCCGATTCGACTCTCCACACCATCTATATCTTTCTCCATGTACTCGGTATTGTTATTGTCCTCTTCCTACAAGTTAAGTACTACCAATTTAGGACCATAAGCAAGATCGAAAAAAAACATACAAAGTTTGTGAAACAACATCCAAACAAGAGAGGCGTCCGTTCTGTACGTTCATGCAATCCTATACAAAACATATGACTCGGAAAGAAACTACGATATACTAACCAGAACATGATGAAACAATTCATCAAGATCAGCCGTAAAAGAGTCACTAAGAGTATCCTGAAACAAGAAAAAGATTTACTTCAGTTTCAAAAGTTCTTATAAGAATTTAAAATTTACTGTATAAGAACGTACTACAGTTCTGCAATTCAGATATAACTTTTAGCCCTAAACACCAACTTAGATAATGTGCACAAGTATAGCTGACTACAAAGAAAGAAGATTCGATTCACAAACCAGACAACAAGCAACCATTACTTGTGTAGTAAGCACAGACGAAATGTTCATTCTAGCTGATGCGGATATAGCAAAACAAAAGGAGATTCTCAAACATGACAGCAAACAATAATTTAGTACTAGCGGAAAAATTGTTCACTATGACTATTGCACCTTGTGTAATTTGGAAAGCAGTTCAGGTAGGAATAAGGAACTAACTGGTTTCTTTAAGGAACAAAGAACCCAGTCGGCACTCATACGACAAGGGCTATCAAGTACAGCAAGTGATGAAGAAAGACAGAAGACACTTAATAAACGGTACGAGATGGAACCCTTTGATTGGTCAAAACAATTCGGCCAAAAAAAGTACAGATGTCTTTGGCAATCATTACACAGTTGGATCATTTGCTATCTTAAGGTCCAGGCCAAGTCAATGTAGAATTATGATAGCATACTTTAATCTCGACTACCTCTTCAACGTTGACAACTAATGAACATATGATCGCCAAAACATGTTCATCCTTCTTGTCAATTCCTACAGACAAATTTAGACCGAGAGAAGGAGAGACCAAGAACAACTAAATTTTAAATATCAGTGATTTCTCCTAACATAAGATGCATCGACTATTCGTAAACCTTAAAATTTAGCGAAGGAAGGCAAAGGAAAAGCAAAATGTCCAGCTATAAAGTACAATTGAAATCATTGAACGTCTGAGAAAATTTATAAGTAAATGTGCTGCTTCTATTATAAGTTTTCTTATCGGCCGCAAGTAATTATATATTCTAGTGATCCAACAGACTAAAAGATCTAACAATACAACTTGAGTGGAAAACAAGAACTTGCTCACAACGTAAACAACTGCAATTCCTGATGTTCACTTCAATTATGCAATTCCCTTTCCCTTAAGATTCGTACAAACAAGAAAGAATAGTTGATAAGCTAGCTAACTCATACGAAGGACATGATCATAAAAAAAAATAAAAAAAAATAATAATTAAGTTTATATGAACTAACATGATCAAACAATGGCATAATTCACACTATAATAGGGCTTTAACTCAGAAGCATTAATGAAAACAGCACAAGCAAACAAAAAGCATAATCAAGCAATTAATATAACTGAATCGAAATAGAGAGCACGTACCATGGTTTTCTTCTTCGAATTTCTGATGCGAGAGAAGGAGATTTAAACACCAAAATTGATGATTGTATCCCTGCAAATAAACTGGAAGAAGAACACCGAAGTGGAAGAATAAAACTAAAAATTAAAACCCTAGTCCCCAAATCAAACGATATACAAACCAGGAAAAGCAAAATCGCCAAGGGCTTATGAAGCAGATCAGTAAACTGTGTATATATATATGTGTATATATATATATATATATATATATATATATATATATATATATATATATATATATATATACTTACTCCAAGAACGCGATTCTGCTGCAATCTGTAATCGTGAAGAATCAAAATCAAATCGCCTTTGTTTGGTTTTTATTTGCAGTGTTTCTTCCGTAGATTAATTGTAGTAGTAGGGTGTATCTCTGATTCGCGAAAAACTCCTTACATTCAAATAATATGGGTTTTTTTTGCACAAGTCCCTACTATGTTTAGGGGATATATATATATATATATATATATATATATATATATATATATATATATATATATATATATATATATATATATATTATTTGAGGCATTTTTTACTATATACTTTTATTATTTTTGATTATTTTTACGTGGGATATTTTGGTATTTATATTTTTTTTTCTTCAAAATATCTAATTGCTTAGATATTTTTAATTTTCTTAATAAAATATTTTATTTTTGTCAATTTGAGTTTCTTCATTTTTTTTTCTTAAATGTCTTCCGGTAGTTCAAACATCCTAAGATTACAAACATCTTTACAGTCCTATTATTGTTGAGAATTTGAAGTACCGGAAGACATTTAAGAAAAAAATGAAGAAATTCAAAATGACAAAAATAAAAGGTTTTATTCAGAAAAAAAAATCTAAGCAATTAAATGTTTTGAAGAAAAAAATAAAAATATCAAAATTCCAAGTAAAATTAACCGAAAATGTTAAAAAATATAGTGAAAAATGGCTCAAACAAACCCTTATATTTATAGGCTTAGCACGGGTATTATCGTCATATTTTGGAAAAAATATAAAAGCAGGGGTTTTTTTGTATTTATGTGTAGTAGATGATGATAAAAAGTCCATATTACATGAGTGTTTTTTGTATTTAACTCTATTTATTATAAATAAAGGAAATATTCATGTATATGACAAAATTACCCCAACCATGTACACCATTTTTTTTAATTGTAACCCCAATTTAATCAATTTTGACCACAAAAATCCAATTTTGACTTTTTTTTAAAATTTTTTTTTTTTTTTAACGCCAGCTCCGGCGTTGACTTTCGATATTTTTTTTCTGGTCTGTTTTTTCCGGCGTTGACTTTTTTTTTTTCGCCGCCGGATTCCGGCGTTGACATTTTTTTAGCGTTTTATAGTTTTTTTTTTTTTTAACGTCCGCAGCTAAACGTTCACTGTAATTGTGATGTTATTAACGGTAATTATACTGTCACTGACAATAAATTAACGTAATTATACTGTCACTGACAGTATATTAACGTAATTGTACTGCCGTTGACAATACATTTATGTAATTGTACTGCCGTTGACAGTAAATTAACGTAATATTATTATTTATTTATTTTGTTATTTTTTTAAATTTGTTTGATTTGTTGACAAGTAAACGTAATTATCGTTGAGAGTAAAATAATTGTAAACACAATAATATTACTGTTAACCACATCAATATTATTACTTTTTTTGGGTTTTTTTTGTTTTGTTTGAGTTATTCACGGCGTAACGTAATAATACACCAGGCCAAAATGCAAGACTGGCGACGTTTTTTTCGCGAAGCTTATGAGTTCGTCGCCTATTTGCGACGTTACGGAGCTACAATCGTCGCTGAAAGTGGAAAACCCAGATTTAGTTCAAAACCCTAGCGACGATTTTCCGAAATAGTCGCTAGTTCGCGACGCAAGATCTATAAACGTCGCACGTCCGTATGAAAAAAAAAATAAAAAAATATTTTTTTGGCGACGAAAACTACCTTTCGTCGCAAGATTTACATACTTTGGGATTTTATATTTGAAATCTCGCGACGTAACAGTGTCATACGTCGCAAATATTATTTTAAAAAAGAAAAAATAATATACGATGCGACGGTTTCGTAGAAACGTCGCTAGAAATGCCAATTATTTAATAATAATTAATATATGGCGACGGAAGGATGTAAAACGTCGCCATAGTTTTATTTAAAAGAAAAGTTTTTTTTTCGTTGCGACGGATGTTACAAACTGTCGCAATAGATATTTTCAATTTTTTTTTCTGGATTTATTGGCGACGTAATTGGTGATTCGTCGCTAGTCTTCCTTTTAAAAAAAAATTAATTTTTGTTGCGACGGAAAGTTATAAACGTCGCAAAGGTTGATTAATTATTTCCCCATACCCTAATTCGATCAGTTTCTTTCTCCCTCTTCTCTCTCTAAATTTCTCCCTCTCTCTTTTTCCTCCGATCTGCCCACCGCCGTCTGCCGTCCGCCGCCCGCTGCCTACCGCCCCGCTGCCCGCCGCCTGCTGCCCGCCGTTCGTCGTCATACCACCGGCGTTAGCCCTCCTCCGTGATACCCTAATTCGCCTCCAATCTCCGCCGCACTCTATCCTCCGCCGATCCCGCCAGCCCTCGGCCGCCAGCCGTTGCCGTCGCCGACAGCCCTCCGCCGTCAGCCCTCTTTCGTCTCTGGCAGACCTCTGCCGCCATTCCTCCTCCGTCTGCCCTCCTCCGTCAAGAATTTCAAGGTAATTTTGCTTTTTTTTTTTTTAAATCTTTGTATGTTAATAATTTTTATAAGATTGTTAATGTTTAAGGATTGAAAGGCTAATTTTGTTAATAATTTTGCTTTTGGTTTTGTTTGTTTGTTTATGTTGACAATTTCGTATGTGTTTGATTACTACGAACTGTTTTTGGGTTTTTGCTCGGAATTATGTGTTTGTTTGTTTTATGTTGATTTGATGAGCCTGTGTTGCTCGGAATTATGCGAACTGTTCTTCGGTTTTATGTTGCTCGGAATTATGTGTTTTCTCTGAACTGTTCTTACCAAATTCAAATTAAATTCAAACAAAACTTGAAAAATTGAAAGCTTTCCCGTTGAAAATTGAAAATTGATGTCAATTAAAAATTGAAAGCTTTCCCGTTGAAAATTGAAAATTGATGTCAATTAAAAATTGAAAGCTTTCCCGTTGCGACTACCACCTTAATTTAGTTTTAGTTTTTGAATGTAACTTTGACTTGATAGAATAATTGTGATTTTAATAATTGTGACCCTTCCCAATTTCTAGGTAATCTTGTTAATTAAAGCATGCCAAAAGATAGGAGTTGGGTTTTATTAGATGATCGTCGGTTAGAAGTATATCAAAATGGTTGTGTGGAATTTATAGATTTTGCCTTCGCTAAATGTGACGTTGATAATAAAATAAGATGCCCATGTAGAGACTGTAAGTGTCGTAAATGGGGGGATCGTGAATTCGTGCATAAACATTTACTTTGGAGGGGTTGGGATAAACTTTATGGGCAACGCCGATGGACTCTGCATCGAGAGTCCGAAGAAGAATACATTGGCGAGGAAATGAACAATACTAATCATACAGAAATTCCCGAAGTTGCAATTTTAAATGAACCTTTTGATGTACGTGATAACATGGAAGACTTACTGCATGCGTGTCTTCATCACGATCATCATCACGATCAAGAAGATCTGCACGAAGAACCCAACCCCGAAACTGATGATTTTCGTAAACTCATTGAAGAGTGGTGCATCCCCGTTTATGATGGATGCCGGGTATATACTAAACTTTCCTTTATCATGGAGTTCTACAAAATTAAGTCTCGTGGCAAGATAAGTGATAATACATTTACTGAAACTCTTCAGTTAATGAGAAAACTTGATTTTTTAAATATACCCGACTCTTTTTATGAAGTTAAGAAGCTCATCGGTAAATTGGGGTGTGGTTACGTCAAGATTGATGCGTGTGAGAATGACTGCATGTTGTTGTGGAAGGATGACTTGAACTTAAATGCATGCAAAGTGTGTAATGCTTCAAGATGGAAGAATCCAGTAGAAAACCAACCGAGTTCTTCAACCTCTCAGCGCAAAAGGGTACCGAAAAAAGTTTTGCGACACTTTCCATTGATTCCGAGGCTCAAGCGGCTATTTATATGTCGAAATCAGCAATTAACATGAGATGGCACGCTGAGTCTCGATGTAACGATGGCGTTCTCAGGCACCCTGCTGATTCTGATGCTTGGAAAGAGTTTGACAAGAAGCATGACTCATTCTCTTTGGACCCTCGAAATGTAAGGCTTGGCTTGGCTACTGACGGTTTTAATCCCTTTGGATCATTGAGCAGCAAGCATAGCACATGGCCTGTAATTCTAATGGTTTACAACTTACCACCAAATATGTGCATGCAACGCTCTAATATTATGATGTCATTGCTTATTTCTGGTCCTAATAATATTGTAATATTACTGTAAACACAATAATATTACTGTGGTTGACGGTAATATTACTGTTGTTATAGTAATATTACTATCAAGCACATCAATATTATCATTTTGTTTGGGTTTTTTTGTTACGTTTGAGTTATTCACGAAGTAACATAATAATATTATTGTCTATTATTGTGATATTACTATGGCCGACGGTAATATTACTGTTGGTATAGTAATACTACTGTCACACACAATAGTATTAATTATTTTGGCTTTTTATTATGTTTACATTTGTTGAACGATCAACATATTAATATTACTCTATTAGGCAATAATAATGAATTTTGTTGTGTTAATATTATTGTGCTAGAGATTAATATAGCAATATTACTGTGTTAAACTCTAGTATAGTTAATTTTATTGTGTTTAATAGTAATATAGTTAATGTTACTGTCAATCACAACAATATTGTTGTTTAAACGGAAAAAAAAAAAGATGTTACAGAAAGAAGAATTTTTTTTTTCGAAAAAGTCAACGCAAGAGACCACCGCCGGTCAAAGCCGGAAACCGGTGGCGGAAAAATCAAGAAAGTGAAAAAAAAAAAAAAGTCAACGCCGATCGACGGCAGTGACGGACGAAATTGTCCATACAAATGTGTTTTGGGTCAAAATTTAATAATTTGTGAAATTTGGGGTCAAATTGAGGTTAGATTAAATTAAATGATGAAATTGGAGCATATTAAAGTATGAGGGGCTATTTTAGTCTTTTACAAAAATTTGGACCATGTGTAGATTTTTTCCTAAAAGAGTTTATTGTCTGAATCTATTTATGAATAAGTACCTATTGATGGGCTTATTTGTAAAGAGCACTTAAAAATTAGCGTTGTGCAATAAATAAAATATAAATTTATTTTATTTTTTTAATATATTTTTTTTTCCGTAAAGTTTACTTTTTCGAATATTACTATATATGATAATAGTCAACTATAATCATATTCTTACATCATATATAGTTTTTTGCTCATTTTC